TACAGACTAAGTAGGTACCAACTAGTTAACGATTTTATAAACTGGAGTATGTACAGAGTGAAACAGACAAAACGGCACTGTAAAAATCATTAATTATAAGTACAGGTATTTACTTGAAACTGAATTGCGACCTATTCAATATTATTGTTTATTACCTGTAATCGTACTTCGTTGGCACTTAGAGAGATTTCCCGATTTTTATATCCAATGTAGACAGCGATTGGCCATTATGTTATTAGGCATCAGTTTGAACAGAATATGACACTGAGTAACGTTAGACTTGGTACAGACTAAGTAGGTACCAACTAGTTAACGATTTTATAAACTGGAGTATGTACAGAGTGAAACAGACAAAACGGCACTGTAAAAATCATTAATTATAAGTACAGGTATTTACTTGAAACTGAATTGCGACTTATTCAATATTATTGTTTATTACCTGTAATCATACTTCGTTGGCACTTCCAGAGATGTTCCGATTTTGATATCCAATACAGATGGCGAAAAATTATATTATCTGGCAGAGCAGTTTGAACAGACCATGACACTAAGTAACGTTAGACTTGGTACAGACTAAGTAGGTACCTACTAGTTTACGATTTCATAAACTGGAGTAGGTACAGAGTGAAACAGACAAAACGGCACTGTAAAAATTATTAATTATGAGTACAGGTATTGTCTTGAAACCTAATTGCGACTTATTCAATATTATAGTTTATTACCTGTAATCGTACTTTGTTGGCACTTCGAGAGATTTTCCGATTTTGATACCAATGTAGACGGCGAATGGCAGTTATATTGTTAAGCAGCAGTTTGAACAGACCATGACACTAACGTTAGACTTGGCGGTACAGACTAAGTAGGTACCTAGTAGTTTACGATTTCATTAACTGGAGTAGGTACAGAGTGAAACAGACAAAGTGGCACTGTAAAAATCATTAATTATAAGTAGAGATATTTACTTGAATTTTTAATACTGAAACTGAATTGCGAGTTGTGACTTCAAAAATACAATTATTACAACATTGAATATGTACAAACCACGATGGCGATGTACATTGTTCATATTTTGACGGAAGACAATACGGAATATAATGACTATTGTAGGTTAAACAGACGCATATTAAACCAACCACGGTTACGGTGAACACATCACTGTCTGCAATTCAATATTTTTATTGTTTTTGGTCAAAGTTTCACCATAGTCTGTTAAGCCATCAACATTATTGCTCGATATTTACATCAATAAATGTTTAAATTTTTTTTTGCACTCACGCGATCAATATCGTTGATCAATATTTGATATTGACAATAATATTGACAGTGCATGGATCATCATAATATTGCAGACGTGTTCAATATATCGAAACGATCAAAGTGATTTTGATATTTTATTGATAGACTGTCAATATAGTATTGATCCATCAACAAAATCCATCAACAAAATATCATTAATAATAAATAAATACCAAAAACTACTGACGTTCTCTGTATATATCATATTCATATTTTAAAAACGAAAAGATAACAACCGTCGACCGGCGTGAGTGTAGTGATATGATACCACGTTTCGTAACGTTACCGTTTACCGCAGCTGCAGTATCGGTGGTAAATTATATCAACTTTTGATAGAGCCTTATCACCTAAAATCACAGTGTTCCAAGTTCTTATCCATATTGATTATTCGATTATTCTAGCATTTTATTCTGCGTTAAGTTAATTGGTATGTAGTGATCCCTCACTAACGCTTATATTTTGAGTTTGACGACGTTGATGATTGAGTAGGAGAAAAGGTTGCAGAGTTACAAGTTACAACGTTATAATTTAAGTAATTTATTTTTAAGTTAATAATAATATAATGGTATTACATTTGAATATAGAAATTTGAGGACAGAGCGATAAGCGTCTGCCCGAGAGATTAGTGGTTAATACTAAGTACTTACAAGTATGTACGTCGTACTAGCACTGCGCTAATTCTAATTTAGATACAGACGGAGACTCGTATATATACAAAGTCTCCCTAGGTTATTAGGTACACGCAGTCCTGTAAAGAATACTTTTGAAATGTACTTGAGTAAGTACTCAAATACATTTTTTTTTAAGTATTTAAGATACTACTCAAATACTTTAATTGTATAGTATTTAAAATACTACTCAAATACTTTGAAAAAGTATTTGGAATACTTTTCAAATACTTTTGGTTTTCAAAGTGGGTTTCTAATATTATTGTAATATAGACACATAGGTAGTAAATTTATAATAATTTTTATTTATTATTTATTAAATAAATGTTTATTACATTTTTTTTTTATTTTTACATGAAATTTACAATCTGTTCTTAACTAGAACAATAAGCAAATGTGCATAGGGTATTTGCGTATGATTGATATTTTGAGGGAAGAAACCACCCATTGGTGATACTACCTATTTTGTGTTCTTAATTTATTATAACATTTCTAACATTATTTCGAATAAAAATAAAATGTTCGAAATAAAAAACCAAAGTATTTAAAATACCATTCAAAATACTTCATGCTGAAAGTATTTAAAAAGTTATTCAATACTTAAAAAAGTATTTGAATACTTTTACTCAAATACTTTACAGGACTGGGTACACGGTAGAGACTCGGAGGTGGATCAAAGGAATACCGGCGGTTTGAAAGGTACCGACGTAAATGTTAAAGTTGTCGAATAAACCTTGAGTTGCGAACTGGTTTATTTGGCAATATGTATTATTAGAAATCGTTATGCGATTTCCAATGGTGTTCTTGAAGTATGTAATAAACCTCAGGGCGTGTTATAGCTGTTGATCAATATATCATATTATAGTGCAAAGTCCTTATGATGTATAATTATAGGAAAGCGACTCTGTCGGTTTACTACAGGTAGCTGCCAAATGGTACGGATCTTGGCGGGGAAATACGATTTTTCATGAGTATGGTACGATCGCCCAATTTACCAATAGTGTATAGATGGCGTTTTCCATTGGAAAAATACGAATTTTTTTTAAATTTTATATTTATATTAAACATTATACATTTGATTTATATCATTTCTACTCTATTTCCAACTGCCTTTCAAATAAAGGTGAGACTCTATTTATTAATAATATCTTATTTTTTTTTCACGACTCGCGACCCTTTAAATTTATTGCCAAACAACCTCGATAACTGACCATATTTTATTCGTCATAAATAATACTCCGATAAAAATGCCAAATTTTCAAATAGTACATAATTTTTAAAAAAAATACTTAACATATTATATCATAACAGTATTGTATTAGTATTGAATAAGTAATGACTGTGTTTGACACGTAAAATGGTCTCTAAAGTGCTGGTCAACATATCAGAGAAACTCAATGCTATGCATTTTATTCCATAAAAATCCATGCTCAGCGCAATAAACGATTCTGTTCAAATTAAGAACTTGACTCGGCGGCGTCCAGTTTTCGTCGGGCGGTGAGTGCCGGTGACGACGGCGTCGCGTCTGGCGCTACCGCGGAACTAAAGCTCCGCGCATGCGCACAACTCGGCCGCCGAGTCAAGTTCTTGATTTGAACAGAGTATAATAATATTATATTGTATGAGCATTTGAATGTAGGCGATGAAACTGATGAAATTATATTTACAGAATAATTAATTATTATTTATTAATATCATTATTCGTTAAAATTAAAAAATATATTTCAAATTATTGTGACGACATGAATTATTATACTTTAAGAATCTTAATTCATTAAAAAATATACTGTACGGTAACACACCAACACGTCGTAACAACACTAACATTTTTGTCATGAAATATGAAATATGAATTATTAATTTCCAAATTCAAAATAGTGATCATTATCAATTGTATAAATGTATTATCATTGATGATAAACATAATTTTTATTATCTAAATGTATTTTTATTGGTAACATCTTTTTCATAGAAATACGATCTTTTAGAAATGTTCCAACATTTCTTGACTCACCATGTTTGGCGGTAGGTACTGTAATCACAGTAGTCGTTCACTTAGGAGAATTAGTTCGTTCGTTCATCGTTCACCAAATTGAACCAAGTTCTGGCCGTTTTACAGATTGAGTTACCTTAATTATTAATATATTTACGCATTAGCCATTGGCCATTAAATATAATGCCGAATTTGTGAATGGAAATTTGTTGACTCGCATGTCCATAGTCTTCTGTTCAACATTAATCACCAGAAATTTCATTTCAGTTATCACCATAGTATTCACCGACCTGTATAAAAGTGAGAATTCGTCTATTCATACCTAAATAGGTTTAAAATTTAAATAATACCAAGAATCAATGTTCTGAAACGTTTGATCGATCGGTGAGAAGTTGTCAGTCACAAAAATTGTGGTACAATATGCCCATTACTCTTGATCGATCCAAAAAGCGATGTCATCTTATTAATATTGTATTTATATAATTTTAACTAAGATCAATATCAATATCTATTTACAGTAACATTTAATACCTTGTAGGCAGGGCATATGAGCACAAATATTTTAATTTAAATTATTACATCCTAATCTGTAAGCTAAACTCATTGTCATCCGCCCCCCACAAAATATACTAAATACGCCTTTGCTTGTATGTCATTTTTCTTATACTTTAGATTCCAAAAAAAACATTTTTTAAAATATATTTTTTATTGCATTGGTGTGTTCAGCTCTTTTGTGTAGTGTCATACATTTTAGAGACATAACACCAATTTCAACTGAAACACAAGCTAAATGGGCTTAACTACAATATTGTGAATGCCTTTTTTTGTCAGATTTGATTGGCTTAGGGCTATAGTTGTACCACCTCCAATTAAAGTTAACCGAAGTTTGTAAGACGGATACAATGCATGCGGGTGTAGCGTCCTCTTAAGTTATATCAACGTGATTAATAAATAATTGAACTTATTGTCTGTTTTTTTCCCAGCTGCTGTAATTTTGCTGCCCCCTATTCATTTCAAACTATCCTTTATGTTAAATTTGTAATATGGGTTTCTTCAATTCATTAAGGAATATAATAAAATGGTTCACTGACAAGGTTGGATTTTCTGGACATAGAGGACCAACAAAATGTAAACATGAAGAATTTGAACCTATAAACAATAAAGGAGTACACATGGATGAAAGCCTTGTAGAAATTCTTGATATCACATATGAATCACTATCTGAAACTGATGAGGTGGAAATCACAGATGAATCACTATCTGAAACCGATGAGGTGGAAATCACAGATGAATCACTATCTGAAACCGATGAGGAGGAAATCACTGAACCTGGGTCATGTACTGTACCACTCAGAGCCAGTACACCTGTTTTGCTCATTGAGGGTAGACAACATGCAAGGAGAACTATGTCACCATTTAATAATAGAGAAAATTTAGACATTCCTGAATGAAGTCTTCATACGAATAGAATTATCAAGAAAGAGTTGTTTTATGAAATTATATTAAGAAAGTTTAAGGAGAAACAAGCAGCTGCCATTTTAACTTCTGCTACAACAATCCAACAAAAATCACCCATTTTTCAAGAAAATGTAGAATTTATGAAAAAATAATTAGACAAAATTGAACCACAAAAGAAAAATGAAATTTTTCCTGTTTATTCTAAAGAAATAGCCGAATCTATTGCCCTTCAAATGTCTAGTTCGTTAAATGAGTACATTGTTCAATGGAAAAATATTAAAAAAATGGATTTAAAAACAATTTATCTATCTTCAGCTTGGTTAAATGATGAAGTTATAAATCATTATTTGGGTATGATTGTTGACCGTGATCCAACTAACATTCACACATTTGATACATTATTTTATTCTAAATTATTGTAAGTTATAAAATTTATAATTCACTAATATTTACCTTGTTTTTTTACTTACCTATATATAAATTATTTGTATAGAGCACATGGATACCAATCTGTTAGTCGGGGGTCTAGAAAAAAAGATATATTTGCATGTAAAAAAATGTTCAGTCCTATTCATCTGGGTAACCATTGGTGTCTTATATGTGTAAACTTCATTGAAAAAACCATAAAATATTACGATAGTTTAGGCAATAAAAATACAGACTGTTTAAATATAATATTTGACTATCTAAAACAAGAGTACAAGAATAAGAAGAATGAGACATTTGACTCTAGTGGATGGCAAATAATTAACTCTGAGGATTGTCCAAAACAAAAAAATGGTTATGATTGCGGGGTGTTTACTTGTGTCAATGCAGAGTACCTATCTCGTGATGCAAAACTAGATTTTGTACAAGATGATATGCCTAAATTAAGGATTAGGATATGTTATGAGATCTTAAACAATCGTCTATGTTTTTAAAAGTAAACTAAACATTTGATTCCTATAATACCTATTGAGTTAATTTTATTCTTATTTTTTCAAGTTCTATAGAGTATTACATAATATGTTGGTGAATATAATATTAAGATTGACAAGAGGAATAACATTCCTTAATTGTCTAATTAGATTTCATAATTTTAATAAAAATGTTAGCCTAAATATGAAAAAATAATATTTGTTAATACTGTATTTATGAATGTAATTATATATTAACAATTATACCACACATTATTGAACTCACTTCCTATTATGTAGGACAATTCATGTTAACATTTAACTGAATAAAATTAGAAATACTGTTCATGAATCTTTAAAATAAAAGTTAAAATTATTAGTTTAGGCATACAATTAATTAATTTAAAGGCTGAATAATTCAATAAATATAAAGTAGTGGTAATATTGTATTTAAATATTATGATTTGATATATTATTATGTTTAAGATCTTATAATGTTTAATATCTATATTTCATCTATACAATATATCTAAGCAATCAATATTGACAATAACCTCTTTGTGTATCATAAAATCAGTAGAAGTGTTACACTTATTATATGATTTTTAAATGTACTTTTCTTAATAATTTAATGTAGACTTCATTAAAATCAGAGATTTCTTAGATAATGTTCCATTCTAAATTGCAATTCCCGGGGACACTGATCTATAATTTGGTATGTCAGTATGAAATGGTTTCCAATATGTAATATGTTTTTAAAATACATTTTATACTTACCTTTGATTTTTCCCTTTTTAAAATATTATATCAACTATTTTATTTTCTGACGTATGATTACAATAATATAAATAATATATAAATTTAAGTATACATACATATACATACAAAGTAATCATTGTAATTGTGACATTGTGTTCATAAGTATTTGATTTTATTATAAGATTTATTTTGTATAGATGTGTAAAAATATAGCTTGTATGCCATAATCATGTATTTCTACCAATTCATTATGCATATTCAATGATAATAGTAAATAATAAAATCTGTAACCTGCAATACATATTATTATGGCCACCATTTTAATAATAAAAAAAGACAACTCAATTTTTTGAGCCAAAACTAAATTAATTGCATGCATGTGTGATCTAATCTATAACAAACCTATATAATATACATTTATAATATATATAGAGTTTGAAAAAATAAGCAATAACAATATATTATACACATTACTTTAGAGTCTGAAGAATTTAATGATATATAATATAACTGGTTTTGCAAAAATGGTCCAATATAGTGAGTAAAGGACAAAGACTTACTCATTTTTATATTTTAAATATAATATTGTGTATCTATATGATGTGAGTGCAAGCACGTACTCCAAAATAAATAAATAATTTAACTATTAATTAATTTTTTTTTTTTGAAGGGGTGGTGAAACCCCAAAATCCACTCTGTATTATATATTTAACAAGAATTTGTTACATATACACGAGCAGATATACTATATTATAGTATATCTGCAATATTATATATTTATATTTTTTAATATAAAAAAAATATATTTTTAAAAACATTATTTTTGAAATTTTTTAATATTTATTAAACATATAAAAAATGTTTCACATTATGAAGTAATAATCTTCCAGTAGACAAATTAGATATTTGTTTTTTAAACTATTTATTTACTAAGGTATATAATATATGCATTGTTTAATCAATAAATATGACATCAAAAGGATTTAATTGATTCAAATTAAATGTAATTCATTATAATAAGTAAAAATAAATTTTTCTTGATTTTATAATGACCAAATAAATTTCTATCACATATTTATTTATAGGTTTGTACTTGGTTCATACTTATTTCAAACTTACAAAGTAATGTAATTTCAGATTTTAAAAATATTTGTTAATTGAGAAACTCCCCCCTATACTGAAAACACCCCGGGCACTGTTGTCACTAATACGCTGGCAGTGAACACAGTTAGTGATCTATATCGAATCCCATAATAAATAAACCCAGAAAATTAGACCCCCAAAAAGATCACACTATAGTTAAAATTATGTACCCCTAACAGCTAATACATATATATATATATATAATACATATTATATTCTCAATATTTCAATGTCAGTCAATATATGACTTAACAACAAACAAATAGGTTGTTAATTTTTTCCATTCATAATAAATTTGTATCAACATTTTAACTATAATATATTAGGTATAAACAAAAAAAAAAATATTCAATTTTTAAATCCATTATATATCAGTAGTTCTTATGCATTAATTTATAAATAGTTTTCATGAACAAAACCAATTAATTTACACACATAGTGATACATATTTTGATAAGCTATACTATTCTACAACTGTATTATTGCTTAATGTATAAACAATTATGTTGTTAGATTTATATTATTTAAATAGGTGCATTGTAGGTACTCAAACATACATAGTAAACAAAATACAATATAAATATACTGACCGCCAATTCTTATGATTGGTGTTATGGTATTATATGTAATGAATTTCGTAATTGGTATTTAATAATTAAAATTGAAGTACAACTGTATAATGTTTAAAGTACCTATGCTTGATTAGGTGGTTTCTTAATACAAATAAATCATAGATTAAAAAAACCTATTTAAAGACAATTACTTTCCTATATTAGTTAACAATCTCTGAATTGATTTTAGTGGATTAAATATACAGGGTGATAAATTGAATGGATAATCCTAATCCACTTACAGGTATGCACATTTATGAATTATTCATAAATATTAAGTATAATAATATAATGGTTGAAAATATTTTATCCATCGTATACATTTATCGTATTTTTTATTTAAGCAACTTTGTCAAGGAGTGTTTACATTTTACATTTTTGATTTTGGACAATCTTATCATGGACATGTTTGATTTTGAATTATTTTACATGTACATTTTTACCTATAAATTTACACAAATGATAAATACCTATAATACAACCTCCAACTTTGAAATTCATGAAACAACAAAAAAATATATTATTATAGGTACCCCGACAAAATATCGCCGGTAAAATATAGCGTGACCAAAATATCGCAACTAAAATATCGCGAAACCATTATATCGTAAAGAAATAATACTGCCGTACATTATTATAAACTATATACATAATAAGATTGTATTATAAATACCAACCATGAGATCATTTAGGTAAAAAATTGTTTGTTCGCTTAAAAATTCGGTGGCCTATCAATGACTACTGCACCATTAAGGGCACTTTCACCCTTAATACAGGACTCCATTAGTTTCCATGTATTGGTCTTGGGGTTGTAGATTTCTACAGAATCGTTATGTGTTTTAAATGGTCTTCCAGATATAACATAAATTAAACCATGTAATACGACTACTTCTACATGAAAAGGAAAATTTAAATTAAATACTTTTTTAAAAATATTTTCCTCAAAAAATGTTTAATAACTTACCAGGACGCATTCGTGCTAAATGTAAATCAGCTTTTCGAGTCCAAAATCCATCACTTGGTTTATAGGCCTCTACATATTTACAGTATCCTAATTCATTATAGCCACCAATAGCATATATAATACCGTTTAAAACTCCTATACTAACATCACTGCGACCTTCTGACATTTCTGCAACATGTTTCCATGTGCCAATACTGGGATCGTAACATTCGACAGATTTCAAATAAATGTTATCTTTTGAATAATCATAACCTCCTACCTATAAAATTGAATTAAATGTAATGTATTATAAATTGAAAAAATTAATTAATTATCTATTTACCGCGTATAAGAGATTATTGAGTACACACACACCAAGATAACCTCTCTTACTGGACATACTGGCAACCATTTTCCATTTTTGAGTACTGATATCGAAAGCCATCACACTTTTAAATACAAGACCAGCCCAAATACCACCAACCTAGAATATTAAAAAATAATACCAGTTATACGAATTATATAAAATTAGCATTGAAGGGTCGGTGGATTGGGAGATAAACACCCAATTCTCTAGTTTTTTTTTTCATTTTACACTCTATATGGTAATCAATATATTCTATGGATACTTTTTGTTCTTAATTATCGAATCTGGAATTTGGTAGATGTCATGACGTGATTCAAAAAATTGAAAGTTTTCTCTAAATTTTCTTCCCAATTAACGTTGTTTGACGAGTTTAGTTTGGAAAAGTACAAGAATAAACATCCACAAAAGAAAATATACAAAACTATTAAGTACCTACTACATGTATATGATAGTCATAATTACGGCTACAAGGAAATAAAAATGAAAAGTGAACCAAACAATTATTAGATTGTCAGCGGAGCGACCAATGTATTGATTTTGTAATTATGTGTGTTTTTTTTTTGTTATTCATCACCTTTTTTGACAGTAAAATTGCTTAAATTGTATTCTTCCCTGATAGGAAATTTAATGTAGTTGGTAATATAAGAGGGTGGGGGTGAAAGCCACTACAGTGACACACTTGTAACCTACTGTACACCAGTGTGTCATCCACTAACCCACTTTTTTTTATTAAACGATAAGATTTTTACTATTGTTTCCGATCTGTACGAAAAAGGATTACATCCACAAATATCTTTATCAAAGCTTCATCAAAAATAATCAGTTTGGTATAACTTACGACATAAACACAGTGATTTATTAAGCCAAGTCCAAAGTCACGTCGACGAACTTTCATGCTAGACATTGGTATCCAACAAGGTTCTAGTGAAGATAAATCTATAATTTCACTTGTTCTGCCAAGAGGTTGTACTATGAGAACAAATTGATCTTTTATTAACAAGATACTACCAGATCCATGATCATTATGGCTGATTTTTGACGTGATGTTCCAATGGTTGGTAGCTGGGTCATACCAGTTTATATAAGTCTTTTCTTCTGCCCAACTTAGCATAAAGATAATCTAAAATAAACGAATGTATCATATAATTAAAAAGGCAAATTAATCAATACAGAAACATACTTTGTCAAAGTTACCAGACCT